CTACTTTACCTAACATGATGTCCTTCTCCAGGGACTGGCCCCTCCTGACAACATGTCCAAAGTTTATGAAATGAAGTCTTGCCATCCTCGCTTTTAAGGAGCACTCTGGCTGTATTTCTTCAAGACAGATTTATTTGATCTTCTGGCAGTCCATGGTATATTCAATATTCTTCACCAACATCATAATTCAAAGGTGTCAATTCTTCTTCGGTCTTCCTTATTCATTGTCTGGCTTTCACATGCATATAAGGTGATTGAAAATACCATGGCTTGGATCAGGTGCACCTTAGTCCTCAAACTGATATCTTTGATTTTTGACACTTTAAAGAGGTCTTTTGCAGCAGATTTTCCCAATGTAATACGTCGTTTGATTTCTTGACTGCTGCTTCCATGTGCGTTGATTTCAGATCCAAGTAAAATGAAATCTTTGACAACTTCCATCTTTTCTCTGTTTATCATGATGTTGCTTATTGGTCCAGTTGTAAAGAATTTTGTTTTCTTTATGTTGAGGTGCAATTCATACAGAAGGCTGTGGTCTTTGATCTTCATCAATAAGTGCTTCGAGTCCTCTTTACTTTCAGCAAGCCAGGTTGTGTCACCTGCGTATCACAGGTTGTTAATAAGCTTTCCTCCAATCCTGATGCCCCATTCATATAGTCCAGCTTCTCAGATTATTTGCTCAGCGTACAGATTGAATAAGTATAGTGAAAGGATATAACCCTGATGCACACCTTTCTTGATTTTAAACCATGCAGTATCCCCTTGTTCTGTTTGAATAACTGCCTCTTGGCCTATGTACAGGTTCCTCATGAGCACAATTAAGTGTTCTGAAATTCCCATTCTTCACGATGTTATCCACAATTTGTTATGATCCACATAATCAAGTGCCTTTGCCAAGTACTCGTTGTTGTTGCTGTGTGCCATCGAGTCGATTCCAACTCATAGCGACCCTACAGGACAGAGTAGAACTGCCCCATCAGTTTCCAAGGCGCCGCCAGTGGATTCGAACTGCTTACTTTTTGGTTAGCAGCCTGAGCTCTTAACCACTTCACCACCAGGGATTCAGGTGCTTAGTAAGTGCTTAACAGTAGGTGTTGAATGAATGCAAGAATGATTCTTAATTTCCATCAGCCCATGAGGTCCCTCCCTGCCTGGAAGTCTAATCAAAAAAAAAAAAAAAAAACAAACTCATTACTCTAAAGTTGATTCCTACTCATAGCAACCCTATAGGACAGAATAGCACTGCCCTATAGGGTTTCCAAGGCTGTAAATCTTTATGGAAGCAGACTGCCACGTCTTTCTCCCCTGGAGCAGCTGGTGAGTTCAAACCGCCGAACTTTTTGTTAGCAGCCAAACACTTAATCACTGCACCACCAGGGTGCTTTATCTACATCAATACCAGCCAGGAAGTCATTGACCAAGGGCAGCGAGGAGACCCGTGCAAAAACAGTAAGTGGGAGATGACACAGTCCTGATGAAAACAAAATTTTTTTCTTAGAACCCAATCTGGAAGCAATTCTCTCCAAAAGGAAAATATATCCCTCCTTTTCACTGTAGCAGGAGTCACTGGGTAGTGCAAATGGTTGAGTGATTGACTACAGGTACTTGCCGAAAGCTGGCAGTTTGAACCCACCAAGAGATTCCTCGAAAGACAGCACTGGCAATCTGCTTCCGAAAGGTCACAGCCTTGAAAACTCTATGGAGCAAGTTCTACTCTGCACACATGGGTCCCCTTGAGTCAGAATCGACTTGATAGCAGCTAACAACAATATTCATTGCAGTGGATAACAGAAACAGCCCGTCCCTCCCAGATAAAGGACAGAGATAAAGCAAAACTAATTAAACAGAAGCGCCTTCTTAATTTTAATTTTTTTGCTTAATTAACAAAGACTAAGAAAAATCAGAAAGTGCAATGATATGGGGACACGTCTCATACACTTTGATGGTATATTCGAAAAAATGGTTTGTCAGAATATATCGGTAGCCTTAGAAATGTTCATATCCTGGCCCAGTATTTGCACTTCTGGGAATTCTGCCTAAGGAAATAGTCCTAAATACAGAAAAATCTTCATGTGAAAGAATAATTTATTTGTTATTATATCTAATAATGCAAAATTGGAAACAACCTAAATATCCAACATTAGGGGAAAATTAAACAACTTATAATATATTGTATGACTAGAATGCAGTTATAAAAAAAACAAAAAAACAGTTGTTGTGGAGTGGACTCTGGCTCATGGCGACCCCATGCATGTCAGAGAAGGACTGTGTTCCATCGAGTTTTCAATGGCTGATTTTTTGGAAGCAGATTGCCAGGTCTTTCTTCTGAGGTGCCTCTGGGTGAAACCACTAACCTTTCGGTTAGCACCGGAGCACCTTAACCATTTGCACCACCCAGGGACTATGCTGCCATTAAAATATCTTTATTAAAGGTTTTTGTAACATGACAAATACTTGTGTTAGTTACTGTGCTAAATGAAAATGCAAAGATACGAAACCTTATATACATTATGAAATCAACTAGATATTTTTAAATGCAAGGAACTAGGACCAGTAGGATATATTAACAAATTATCATCAATGATTCTCTTTGTAGGTAGGGTGAGAATACAGAGGACTTTTCTTCTTACCTTTTATCTGTTTCTATACTGCCCTATTCCCCTGGAAAAAACAAAAAAATCCTCACAACTGGACCAATAAGCAACATCATGGTAAACAAAAAAAATACTAATCTTGTCAAAGATTTCATTTTACTTGGATCCACAATCAACCACCATGGAAGCGGCAGTCAAGAAATCAAATGACATATTACATTGGAAAAATCTGCTGCAAAAGACCTCTTTAAAGTGTTAAAAAGGAAAAAGTCACTTTGAGGACTAAAGTGCACCTGACCCAAGCCATAGTATTTTCAATCGCCTCAGATGTATGCAAAATCTAGACAATGAATAAGGAAGAACAAAGAAGAACTGATGCCTTGAAGTTTGGTGTTGGCGAAGAACGCTGAATATACCACGGACTGCCAGAAGATAAAACAAATCTCTCTTGGAAGAAGTACAACCAGAGTGCCCCTTAGAAGTGAGGATGGCAAGACTTCATCTCACATACTTTGGACGTGTTAACAAGACGAACTAGTCCCTGGAGAAGGACATTATGCTTGGTAAAGTAGGTCAGTAAAAAAGAGGAAGACCCTTGACGAAATGGACTGACACAGTGCCTGCCACAATGGGCTCAAGCATAATAACAATTGCGAGGATAGCGCAGGACTGGGCAGTGTTTCGTTCTATTGCACATAGGGTTGTTATGAGTCAGAACTGACTTGACGGCACTTAACAACACCACCATATTGCTCATATGTTTACAGTAGACATTATATTTTTATTACTTTATCCTCAAAGGATGGAAATCCTTTATTTTGGTTTATAAACCATGTCTCGGGGGGATTAATTTAACAGATGAATCCAGGTAGTTTTTGCTCTTGGTGAAGGAAAGTCACTGGTATCCCAAACACAAAAGGGGACCAGCTGGTAGATCTTGGAGAGCTTCCTGATGAGCAGGGGCCATTTGTATCCTTGCTCCTGCATCCCTCCAGCCTTTGCAGCTGTCACTTCTTTAATTGCTCATGTGAATTAGTCCCACAGGCCTGGGACCAGGCCCCAGGCCTCCACCCCAAGGCTCAATAACAGGCCAGTCTCGCACGTCTCTTTCTGGCTCTGTCCCCAGTTTCCATAAAAAACAAATGCCACTACCTCCCCTGCCTCACCCGCTACCAGTAGCTGGTGCTTTTTGTCTCTTTGGGTTTTACATTCCCTCATCCGCCCAGCACCCTACCCGTTCTCCTAGGGCCTGCAGCACTGTGTGTGAACCCAGATGTTCCGGGATGAGTGCTGGCCTCTGAGACCAGCTCTCCCAGAAGCCAAATGTCTGCTCCTTTGGCCCTGTTGCCTGCTGCTGGAAGCCTCCCTGCTGTGTCCCACTCTCTTGCCAGGACAGCGAGCTGCTGCCAGCCCTCTCTGGTGCTGCCCGCCCACTAGTCCTTCCTATTGTTTGCAGTCAGGGCTCTCCTCATCCTCTCCAGAAGCTGTGACCTGGCCCCCTTAGGTTTGCGTCTGGGTTCCATCACTGCTGATCAAGCTGCCATCGCCATGACCATAGCTCTTTACCTTCCTCTACCACCTCCCCAGAGGTTTGTTGATTTCCCACAGGAAAATGTGGCCAGCACTGGGCCTCTTCTTCTGTTCTGTTCAGGGAATTTACTCTGGTGAGTTATTTGGGGAAATGAAATGGAGTGACTCCTATTAAAGTGACAGAGGCTTCTATTCTACAGTGTTTGTATCTCTGATGGGACAGACATGGAGTCAAGATTCCTGCTCTTATTCAAGAGTCTAATAAAGCTGAGGGTTAATGATAGTGGTGATGATGAACTTTTCTATATGACTGGCACTGTGCTAAGCATTGAACATAGAAAGTCACATCTAGTCTTATGGGGCACACAAAATAACATGGGTGGATACCACTGGTAGTTTTATTTTATAGATGAGGATACCGAGGCTCACTTAAGCAAACGAACTTGGTCAAAGTCACAGAAGGAGTGAATAAAAGAGTCAGGATTTGAACTCAGGTCAGAGTCTGATCATTAAACACCACTCCAGGCAATATAGCCCCAAAGGCAGATCATGGCAATGAGTGGTTGGAGTAGTCATATGAGCCTGATCAACTGAAAAGTGCTTGTCCATCTGTAGGGTGTGGTGACTGATGTCAGGCAAGAATGTAGGCTCAGGGATGCCAGAGTTTTTGAGTTTTCAAGAGATGCCTACAAATCTGGATTTTGAGATGCCATCTCCCTTTTTCATAACGTGGGTTCAATTTTTTTTTTAAGTGGGTAGGCCAAATAAAATGCCTCGGTAGGCCAACAGTTTGCAACCTCTGCACTATGATGTACTGTGCACTTTCCAATTCTTACTTGTGACGCGTGCTCTTTTTAAAGGGCTAGAACTACATACCTGGACAATCTCTAGCATTTCCGCCTTGCTGATGTAGCCATTGCCATCCAAGTCATACATGCTGAAGGCCCATTTCAGCTTCTGCTCCAACTTCCCTCTGGACGTTACACTCAGGGCTATGATGAATTCTCTAAAGTCTATTGTCCCATCCCCATTGGCATCGAAGGTGCGGAAGACATGCTCTGCAAATTTGGAAGCATCCCCATAAGGGAAAAAGTTCCCATAAATTTTCTTAAACTCTTCCATTGACAAATGTCCACTGGGGCAGTCTCTCAAGAAGCCTTTGTACCATTCCTGGATCTCGTGCTCTGTAAAGTCTGTGCTTTCCAGTAAGTCCTGCATGACCTCCGGGCGCAGCTTGCTGTTCTGTTTCCCCATCTTGGCAGCGAGAATTCAGCTGAAGATAGAACAGAAAATACATAGAATTTTTAGAGCGGTTCTTCAGGGGCACCATTTATAATTTACAATTGTTCCTTTGAGAAAAAGGAAAAAGAAAACAAGCTCTATTCTAGCCCAACAATATTGTCTAGGTTTTGCAGTATAGCAGTCAGCCTAACAAAATGAGATAAAGACAGGAAGGCAGAAGATACAGAGCAGAAAGATCATTGACCAGGAAACTGATCTCTTTTATACAGAGCCAATGTGAAAACATAGATTGATAATGAAAGTCAGTGAGTGAGTCAGAGAGACAGGAGAGAGAGCACTTGAGAGAGAGAGACAGAGAGGTTGAGAGACAGCAAAACAGAGAGACAAAGAGAGAAGAGACGTGGGAGAGTTAGCTCTGACTTATCAATTTGCAAGAGCTTGAGCCTGAATCTAAGAATACTGGGGCTCTAATACCCAATCAAAGGGGACCTATGTACAATGGTTAAGCACTCACCTGCTGATGGAAAGGTTGGCGGTTCGAACCCACCCAGTGGCTCTGCGGGAGAAAAGATCTGGTGATCTGCTTCTGTGAAAATTACAGCCTATGGGGCAGTTCTACTCCATCCTGTAGGGTTGCTATGAGTCTGAATGGACTCAGTGGCACACAACAACATAACCATACCCAATCCAGGGCACTGGGTAGTTCAGTAGTACAATTCTCATCTTGTGTTCAATCCTGACCAATGCACCTCATGTCAGCCACCACTCATCTGTCAGTGGAAGCTGGCATGCTGCTATGATGCTGAACAGGTTTCACTAGAGTTTTCAGACTAAGACTGACTAGGAAGAAAGCCCTATGGATCACAATGTTCAGATCCCCAACCGATCACGGGGGTGATGTAGGACTGGGCAGTGTTTCATTTTGTTGTGCAAGGGGGTTGCCACGAGTCAGGGGATGACTCAATGTTAGCTAACAGCAATAACAAGAACAATACCCAATCCAAGTATTAGCAAGGAGAACTAAGGGCGAGGAAGAGAGAAACCAAAAGAGAGAATTCAGCACTTTCTATTGTCAGAATATTTCCAAGTAAAGTGATGCTTGGGGCACACAACAGAGAGTCCCTGATGGAGCAGGAGAAAAGTGGGGTGCAGAACTCAAATAGTAAAAAGACCAGACTTACTTTGACTGAGACTGGAGGGAGCCCGGAAGACATGGCCCCCGGACTTTCTGTTAGCCCAGAACTAAAACCATTCCTGAGGCCAACTCTTCAGACAAAGATTAGAGTGGACTGTGGGACATAAAATGATACTCGTCAAGAGTGTGCTTCTTAGCTCAAGTAGATACATGAGACTAAATGGGCAGCTCCTGTCCGGAGGCAAGATGAGAAGGCAGAGAGGGTCAGGAGCTGGTTGAATGGACACGGGAAATCCAGTGTGGAAAGGAGGAGTGTGCTGTCACAGTATAGGGAGAGCAACTAGGGTTACATAACAATGTATGTGTAAATTTTTGTATAAGAGACTAACTTGAATTGTAAACTTTCACCTAAAACACAACAATAAAAAAAATAAAATAAAGTGATGCCTGGATAAAACTGGTTGCCATCAAGTTGATTATGACTCATGGCAACACTGTGTGTGTCAGAGTAGAACTGTGCTCCACAGGGGTTTTAATAGCTGATTTTTCAGCAGTAGATTGCCAGTCCTTTCTTTCAAGGTGCCTCTGGGTAGACTGGAACTGCCAAGCTTTTGGTTAACAGCCAAGCTCATTAACCATTTGCATTACCTAGGGATTCTAATGCTTGGTTACCTACTGAATATTATAAACAAAGACATGAGAAGGAAAGCAGAAACAAACCAGTCTAGTACTGCTAAATACTACTAAGCTAGTCCAGTTAATGGAATCCACAAAGTCCGATCACTGATCACGGTGGGTTTAGATGGCAAACATGATGACGCATAAAGCTGCTTATGTCTTATGTTTAGTGCTTATGGAATAGGCCAAAATTTCTTTTTTAAAATACAAATCACTTTGTTTTTCTTATTATAATAGTAGCCCACAACCATGCTAAAATAGCAAAACAACACAGTGCCGCACATAGAAAGAAGTCAACATTCCAATCCCAATGATTAGAGATAATGACTGCTCGCATTTGGGTGTGTGTCCTTCCAGATTTTTTGTATGAGTATCTAAGTATGCTGTTAATATATTATGTGTTTTAATATGTTTACATTTTTAAAAACAAGAATATATGCAATTTTTATTACCTATTTTTTCATTTAATATAGTGTGGGGAACAAAGGCAGTTTTTATTAGATGGACATATAGCTGTAAATACCAGCTTCTCCTCCACATAGCCATTTAACATTTATTGAGCACCATGCCTGAGGCATGCTTCTGATGTTGTGGATACAAGAATAAAATGTGGCCACTCTTGAGGGCATTCCATTGTGTGTGTACAGGGGTGGTGGTGATGGTAAGGAAACAATACCACACACATTCAATCAATACATGGAACCAGAGGAATGGACGTGGTGCTGTGAGCACAGAAGGGATTCTCGAGCCAAAGGAGGACATAGGTGATATCAGGGAAGCCTTCTTGGAGGAGGTGATATCTGAGTTTAGTTCCTGTTTCAAAGTCTTATGATTTAAGAGTGGTCAGGATAAACCGCTTCTCATAAAGGGGTTCTGCATTGATATTTGCATTTTTCTGACATTGAAAAAAATTCCGAAAGGAAGGCTTGGAAATTTACAGAATTTTTGAAAGGCAACATTGCCATTTTAATAACGAATTTCAATTTTCTTTGGGATTTTTACACTTTATGGTGCTTATTTGTTTAGATGTCTGTCTCCCTCCTACTACAGCCTTGAAGAAGAGTCTATATTGGAGTTATCTTATATCTCTGAGGAGTCTTGGTGGCACAATGGTTAAGCACTCGACTGCTAACCAAAAGGTCACCAGTTCAAACCCACCAGAGGCTCCATAGGAGGAAAGACCTGGCGATCTGCTCCCCTAAAAATTATAGCCTTGGGAACCCTGTGGGGCAGTTCTACTCCATCCTAAAGGGTCGCTATGAGTCAGAGTCAACTCAACGGCAATGGGTTTTAGGGTGAACTAATGAATGAAGGAATGACTGAAAAAAATGATTGAATAAACAAATAAATGATTACAACATGGAACTATGGAACAGTCTTGTTGGTAAAGGAAGCATTTTTCCAGAAGGACAAGGCCCTGGTTCAGAATGTCATTTGACACACTAAAGCTATGTAGTGGTTAAGACTTGGTCTTATAACCCCTGAAGTTGAATTGCCTGTAGAGCTGTCTGTTGCTCCCGCTAAATATAAATTCCTAGAGGCCAGTGTCTGCATCTCACACTGCCCAGACTTCTTTCATATTGTCCATAGTTCAAAGAATAATGAGCAGTCTTTGCTGATTAACAAAGTTGATTGGTTTTCTTTTCTGAGTTCTGCACTTTGAGGCAGAGCCTGGGCCTGCTCTACCTCCTATGCAGGCGTCTCCTCAGGGGTGGGGAGAACCAAGTTTTCTTCCTATTAGTATGACCAACAGCTGGCAGGAAAGAGCTTACTTTTGGAGGTCCCCTTTTATGGGAATCAAGCAAACACCATTTTATGCAGGAACAAAATTAAACTAGAACTCCAAATGGAGCACAATTTATCAACTAAACATTCCAATAACTTTCACTTTCTCTCATCTCCCTTTTTTTCTGGAAGGGGGAAAAACAAGCTAAGTTAGAGAGACTGGTTTGTATTAGAATTTTAAAACTGTCATTTAGCTGCTAAATTGGCAATTTGCCTGAGGCCAGAATTCAGAACCCTGAGGTAATACATAATACATGGGTTTACAGAGCTCTAAAACATTTTACGGTATTTCAAAGTAATTTTGAGTTCTCCTTTTGGGGAATTCTTTAGAAGATAGCTCTTTGGTGTGGTGTTCAATCAAATCACCGTTATTACAGTTTGGTTAAGTGCAAATCACCTTGTGCTTGGCCTTGGGAAAAAGTGCTATTTTGATATTTAAACTTACTCCCGTAAAGAATGATTTATTTCCCTGGAAATATAAAGCACTATTTCTTTAAAACCAAACTTCAGCTCCTTTCCCGATGTTTAAAAAGTGCTTCTCATTTATTAGTTGTTTTGGCACTCGAAACAAACTGCCTCAACATTTTGGCTAAGTCTCCCACTGAGACTGAACTGTGTGCAGCTATTTCTCGGTAAACAGTAATTAAACCACATTTACAAATTCATTAGCACAGAAAGCCCATAACACAAACAAAGCAGGAGAACACGGAATAAGTTATTTGAGAAGCGGGTGTTTGCCACTTAGTCCAGAATTTGTTTCAGTAGATAAATACAAAAACTTTACGAAGTATGATGACCGTACTTGAGCAAGCCATCTGGACTTAGTTAGACTGTATGACAAAAATCTCAGGGTACATACGATAGAGTTTCATTTTAGGGGGGAAGAAAGATAGAAGAATGTCTGACAATACCTTTTTCTCCTGGAAGACAAGAATTTCTGCCTGTTTAAATCGGGGGGGTGGGGAGGAAAAAAAAACCAACAGGGAAATGCTACATTAGTTAACTAAACTTGTTCCTGACCAGTCCATTGCAACTCATAGCAACCCTAGTCAAGAAAAATAAAAAATAGTCTGGAGACAAAAGTTGCACCTCAGGTCAAACCCTTTTCATTAGTCTATTCAGTCATTAGAATATTTATTTTGTGCCAGTGGAATATAACGGGGGAAAAAAGCTCAGGCTAGGAAATAAAATCCTTGGGTCTAAAGCTGACTGTATTATTTCTTGTTGTTGTCGTTAGCTGTCATTGAGTAGGTCCCCAACCATGGCGACTCCATGCACAATGGAACAAAATGCCGTCTGGTCCTGCCCCATCCCCCTGATCGGTTGTGGATCAGATTGTTGTGATCTATAGGGCTTGACAGATGGGTGGTGGCTGTGCTTGAGGGGCATTGGCTGGGAATTGAACCCAGGTTTCCCACATGAAAGGCAAGAAT